GTCACCTGCCCACTGAACCTCTCTTTTGTCCTTAAGTGGAAACTAGCTTCGTATTTTTCAGCAGCCTGATTTTTCTGTTATTGGTTGATTCCATGGCCAGGTTCTTCCAGTATTTCCCATGTCTGTGACTTCAGGGTAATGTAACATCCTGATCAAGTTATCATAATGACGCATCTGTTTTCTGTAGAAAAAAGGAAGTCAGTCTGGATTCTCCCTCCACAGACAAGGACATTCATAGTTAGTTTGACCACTCTCTAAGTACAATGAGCATAATCAGTGTGGCATTCCAGGAGCCAGGGAAATTGACTAAACTCTTTTTATTTTGAGCTGTATGAAATTATCTGAACCAAGTGCAAATTAACTCAAAACTTCCCTGCTCTGGGGTTTCATGAAAAACACAATGCTCAGACCAGGTTTGTCAAAATGTTCTTGAATCTTTCAAATAAACCTGGTCTGATATTTTTCCATTTACATTAAAAACCTCATAAAAGTAGGAGCTTTCTTCCTTTATAAGATGTACCTATCATCAATCTCTCAACTTGTTTACAATAAAAACACCACAATAAGCCAGCCAGCCAGTGTTAGTGAATGCAAACTACTTTCCCTGCCAAGCCAAAAATATCCAAACCACCCTCAAACAATGATTTTAAGGTTGGCCTGTGTTAACAGATAAACTTTGCAATTGCCTTAAAGTTCAACAAACTCTGGTTCTTTTGGACTGAGAGGGGGACTAAATTCCAGAGTTGTGAGCCTCCACTGAGAGTGCCCTGCCCTCAACCTCCAGATGTGCAAATCTAGAACCTGTCAACTCAAGCATCCCAATTAATTCCAATCTCTGGTTTAAAACATATAGAAAGAAGAGAATCTCTGACTTATTGGGGTGACTGGATTTTTTTCCCAGAGGGCTGGAGTTTGCATGTTTTTGGTTTGACCCTTGATTTTCGTGAGGAGAAGAATTTTGACATCTGTGAAACTTAAAAGTGAGGATTGAAGAAAGAATGATAAATACTGCTGGATGTGCCTTCCCCAGGACAGCACACATCTATTCTTCTGCTACACGTCTGCAGCACAAAGCTGGTTAGTTCCATGCAGAGTGATTTTTCTGCATGGCCAGGTGATGCTTAAGGAGACTAATGAGGGGGATGATATGGCCCAGATCAGTGGTGTCAGGAAGCATGTAATAAAGTATCTTTCTCCGAGAGACTGAAAGCAGGACTCGTCCTAGTATATATTTCAAAGGGGATAACTGTGTCATCCACAAAGTTGAACATTTACCCTCCTGCAAACCACATCCAAATTATAGTCTTTTAAGCAGTAACTAAACCTGAAGCTTTCATTGGTTTAATGATAGATGCTTCTTTGTGTGGAAAAAATAAAAATGGAAGTCCATCTCATTGACGCGACTTTGTTTTGCTGCTGGCATTGCAGCTCCCTCTTACTCAGGAATAACCTAGCTAAGCAAGATTGAATATAATATAGAAGCTTCTGTTGGCTTCTGCTGCCTGCCAGGAAAATCAAAGAAACTTCCCATTGGGAAGAGTAAGTCAGCAGCTAACTGTGATGCCCAGAGAATGTTTTCATGTGGTGGTGCTACCGATATCAGATCTGTTGTCAAACTGAAAAATGTGTGTTTTCTTCCCTGTGAATGTACCTGAGAGACTCCCTCTTCTCACCTCCAGCAACTGACAAATAATCCACCTTTTTTTGTTTCTATGCCAATGTTTTTCCCAGTCACCATGCTGTGCTTTTTGGGGAAGGACAATTTTACTACCTTTGTGATCCCAGAAAAAAAATGCATGTCTCACTGTGATAGGTAATAACCAACCTGTCAAATAGAAATCTCTTTTCTCTTGCTGGGCTGATGATTGTTAATGTTGCATTCTGTATTGATGTGTAAAGTAGAGCTGGATGAACTGTGTACTGTGGAGGATTTGTTAAAATGTACCACTTTGTTCTCTTCGTGAATTATCAATGAACAAGATGTGATTTTTCATAGTTTTATTCATTCTTCACCTTTATTCAAATAGTGTGTGCAAATAAACGTAAGTTTTTTTTATGGATTGTTCACCTAACTGTGGCTTTAAATAGTCCCTGTTCGTTACGGGGCCAATCACATGGTATAAATAAGTTAGAAGTTATTTGCTTCTCCTCTCTGATTGGATGGCCTATAGTTCATAAACAGGAAGAGATGTCCCTTTTCCATATTATATGCAAAATGGTCAAAATTGTGATGGCAGTGTTTTAGTACAATACACTAGTCAATATTTAACTTGTGCTAGAATTCATTTTGTTTTCCACAAATGTTCTTGTGAACTAAATTTTGCTTACCCTGTTCTATTATTTCTTATGTTTATTACTACTTCAACTATTCTGGCAGAGCCTACGGGCCTCAAATGAGATCAGGGCCTCACATTGCTAAATGGTGGGCAAGCATATTGTAAGGGACAATTCCTGCCCCAAAGAACTTGCAATCTAAATTTGAAGTCCAGACTTGACAAGTGGGTACAATTCCCAGGCAACAGGAGCCAGTGGGTTGCTTTGCAAGAATATTCACAAATGTATCTTTGACCATATTTGCCTAGGTGTCTGGCTGATGAGTCTTGCCCACATGCTCAGCGTTTAGCTGATTGCCATATTTGGGGTCGGGAAGGAATTTTCCTCCAGGGCAGATTGGCAGAGGCCCTGGGGTTTTTTCACCTTCCTCTGCAGCGTGGGGCACGGGTCACTTGCTGGAGGATTCTTTGCACCTTGAAATCTTTGAACCATGATTTGAGGACTTCAATGACTCAGACACAGGTTTGATGCAGGAGTGGGTGGGTGAGATTCTGTAGCCTGCGTTGTGCAGGAGGTCCGACTAGATGATCATAATGGTCCCTTCTGACCTTAAAGTCTATGATTCTATCTCTGGTTGAAACTAAGGGCTTGTCTACACTAGAAAAATTGTACCACTTTAAATTTACTGGTAGAGTCACAGCAGTACAACCCCTATAGTGTTGACATAGTTATATTGGTATAAAGGTGATTTATACAATAAAACTAACTATTCCTGTGCAAGAAAGGGAATAACTATACTGGTGTAAATCACCTTTATACAGGTATAACTGCATACACAGTAGGGCATTTACCAGTATCACACACCTAATTGAAATAGGTATACAGAAAAAAATGTCAAGTGTAGACCAGGACTAAGAGCTGGACTCTTTTATTGCACAATGCATTGACTACCAGAACAAATGTTGAATGAGCACGTGAATGAAGTCTTCCTAGGGCTGTTAAATGCAGTTTTTAGCCATACAGAGAAGAGTTAAAGTATGCAGAAGTATTGATTCTTCGGTTCACAGGGACAGCTGGGAAAGAAGGTATATCACACAGTAACAGTTACAATACAGTCACAGCTCTCTTATTTCTTCATGTATTAGATGTGAGAGGCTTTTTGCTAGGAGTACATTCATTTTCACTGCAGAGCACATTTCTAAATTTAGGCATAGGATGGTGTGGTAAGTGACGGAACACATTTCTGAGTGCAATATACAGTAATATGGCTTTGCTTGCTTCATCACCCTGGGAAATCCATGTATGCAGGGCACTGGGTGTAATGCAGATCAGCTCAGCCAGTACACACAGCTCCTGTCTATACTATAACTGGCACTGGCCTCTATCATCCAGCCTCTTGCTTTCAGGTACAGCAAGTTCACATGTGCAATTACAGGCTTTCATTTGATGGACTGAGAGTCACTTAGAGAGGTTCCGTGCTACCCCTTGCCTTACCCAAACACTCTGAATTTCCGTTTCTCTCTGCAGTTTGCTGGCAGCAGAGCTAGAGCACAGGACATAAAATATTTCTCCTCTTGTCTCTCGCTGCTCCTTGTTCCCATATCATGTAAAAAATATTATCTGATTAAATCTGTTGACATATATAATTAATTGCTACTTCCTTACCCTTATCTCACTTGCCTGTCCTTTCTCTGGCTTCTTCTTTATCTGTATCATCTGATGCAAGAAAATAATTCAAAATATTTTTTGTTTATTTTTTAATGAATAAATAAATGCCGATTTAATCCTTTTGAAGAAACACTTGATCCCTGCTTTTCCTTTTCAAGCTGCAGCATGTCAGAACCTGGCACTGCACTCACCCCGGGTCCTTTCTGTGCTATGATACATTATGTTGATATTTGAGGAATTGAAACTGCATCTCCTGGCCACATGGCTTAGATTCAGCACAACAGTATTATATCTTGCTCTCAAAAGTAAATCCAAAGCTTTTGAGCTATGTTTAAAAGCCCTACCAAATTTGCTCTCCAAACTTGCTCTTGTGCATAGTTTTGTTCTTGTGGCATTTTTCTGGCACAAACTGACATATGCAAGTAGCTTTAGTAAAAGAAGGATGGTTCAACAAGCATTTTTCATGAACAAGACATACCTACATGTTTTGTACTGATATAACTAAGTCGTATAAAGATGCTTATAGTGGTGCAGCTTATTACCAAAGTTAGTTATACTAAGATAAGCACTTTTATACCAATAAAATGGAGTCCACCCTAGAGGATTGCACAACCAGTATAGTTAAATTGATACAAAAACTGTGGGTAGATCTGCCCTGAGACCTAGATTGTGGCTTAGTATGCTCTTGAGTGGCTGAATAAGCTAACTCCACTGTACACACCTAGCGTGGCTATCTGAACCTTAGGTTTGGGCATATGTGAATAAGTGGAGCAACATGCTTGCTTACTCCCTTCTCAGAGTAGGTAGGTAGGGAATGGGCAGAGACTATGCTTCCCTCCCCCACACATGCACACTCACTGGCAGTACAGCTGTGCTGGTGTGGATCAGCTGGGACATGCCATTATAAGTACTACCAGAAGGTGCTAAATACCCACCCTCTGGAAATAAGGTCCCTGTAATGTGTCTGAAGTTGGGCACGCACCATCATTTTTGAAGACATATGAATAGTTATTACTTTGACTCATTCTTAGCGTATGTTTTTATCTTGCATTTCACAGAGGCGCAGAGATTTCCTCCAGTTGATACTCGATGCCCGCAGCTCTACTAACTACATCGGTGAGGAGTACTTTGACATAGTCAACCAAGCTGATGTTTCCATTCAGGACCATAAGCCTCCTGTTGACAAGGCCCTGCCTAAAAAGGTTCAGAAGACATTGTCTGAGGATGAGATAGTAGGCCAAGCCTTCATCTTCCTGATTGGTGGGTATGAGACCACCACCAATGCCCTCTCCTTCGCCACCTACTTATTAGCCACCAACCCGGAGTGCCAGGAGAAACTGCTGCAGGAGATAGATGAGTTCTCTGGAAAACATGTGAGTAGATTCATTGATTTCATACATTTCCTTGCTCTTTGCATAACGTAAGTAGTGTGAGCAGAGTGCCCTCCTTGAAATACAGACCTGGACACGTGAGGCAGATATTAAAAATGTAAATTACATGCACAAAGCTACATTAATGCAACATGAATATTGCACCATTAAAATAAAAAAGTCAGGAAGTGCAAAAATTAAGATCCCAAGAGTAATATTTAAATGAACCATGGTCTTTCTTTTTATTAATCCACTGTGAATATATCCTCCGACTGTAGCCTCTAGTGCAGGTGGTACTCTTCTCGGCCCGAGTCCTGTATGCATTTCCTGGGTTTTAGTTATATTCAATTACTTATTTAACAAGAAAAATAAAAACATAAAATGCTAAATGTCACCACCTGGCCTGGAAACACATGGCAAGGATGCCAGACTGTTGTGACTGAATCCAACCACTGGGTCCTACATGCTTCTAAATCCACTGGGACTAGGTCGTGTCTACTCACTGTTTCTAATTATAAGACTCGGTTTATAATTCTAGGTTATTATTAGTACTGTTGCACTCCAAGTGGAGCATCTTACTCGTTTCACTCAGGTACAATGGGCAAATTCTGCCCTCACAATGATTTAACTTCATTGATGACGCTGGGGAGTTGCAAAGTTGTGACTGAGGGCACACTTTGGCCTACAGTGGGTATGATTTATTGGTTTATATTGCAGTCACAGCCCATCAGGATTACAATCTATTGTGCTAGATATTATATTAACACATAAGAAAATATAGTCTGTGCTATCCCAAGGAACTAACAGTCTAAGAAAATAAGTGACATCCCAAAGGATCCAATGAAATATATACAAGTAAGAGTGTGTGTGTGTGTACGTATGTGTGTATACACAGGGCCGGCTCTAGGCACCAGCATTCCAAGCATGTGCTTGGGGCAGCACTTTTCAAGGGGCAGCACTCCGGGGTTTATTTTTTTTGCTTCAGCGGCAGCACTCCATTTTTTTTTTGCTGTTGTTGTTTTTTTGCTTCGGCAGCAGCACTCCAACCCCTTTTTTATTTATTTATTTATCTTTTGCTTGGGGCAGCAAAAAAACCTAGGAGCCGGCACTATGTATACATACACTCTCTCTCTCTCTCCTCACATCTACATACACAAATACATTATATTTTTCCACATAATTGTAAGTAGATGTAGGCATTGTGACATAGTGTGTGATTCACTTCTATCTTTCTGTGTTCTCTGAGCTTCTATTATTGTTAGGTTCAAAGGAGTAATGCTTGACTTTTGTTCCTATTACAAATTTATTTTCATTGTAGCGCTATCTTTTGTGATATTTGGAGAAAGCTCTGTCACTAGGGCTTTAATGGCAGAGTAGAATATAAAGAAGGAGGTGGGAATGGTGGGCACACAGATTAACTGGGTGGTTTAACAGCTTAATAAACGGTTGGTTCAATATGCAGTCATACGTGTAATGGGGTTGATGGCCTTATCTGTATTTCATAGTGGACATCAGTCTGGATACCAAAGCAATACATGCACAGTTGTCAGTAGCCCCTTGCAGAGCATTTCCCCTGTTACCTCACTGGTGTTCAGTTTTAGCTACCGATGACCTATATATGGCTGTATGACAATGGAGAAGAGGAACAGAACTGTAGTCATCCAGCTGTCCTCTTCAATAACAAGAAGTTCATGCTTCCAGTCTGCATGGCCCCCTGTCATAAGGTTTCCTATTACTACCAACATTAACCACAATTAATCTTTTTTATGTGTTAGAGGATCCCTGATCCAGGAATTCACTTCAGGGTCAGGAATAGGGTATAGCATTTCAATCCCATTAGCACTGTAATTAACCACATTTAGCCTAAAAAATAAAATCCTCACAAATGATTTGAAAAGTTACGGGGGAAGAAACTGTTTTAGAACTGGGAATGTATTGATGTATCATGTTCGAGATGGAGGGGGGAGAATATGTGACCCAAAGGCTCGCTGATCTCAAAGTCACTAAGAAACCTGAAGAGGTTATAGCAGTTGAATGATGCTCAACATTTCAGCTTAGCTCTTACCTTTAATCAAGGTGCTTTGCAATTTAAAGATCATGGTAGAAGAACATTTGTGGGACGGAACAGGCAAGATGGGTGCAGCTGGACAGGTTGCATCTGACCAGTAGATAAATAGAAGTCTGTACTTATTCATTTAGATGCACGCATGTCAAACCATTACGCTGTGTCCTGTCCAGCCAAATTTATACTCCGGTAATTGCAGTACACCTACTAAATTCCCCCAGCAATTTCAGTTGCATTGTACAGTTATATTTTATTGCCCTAAACTGTGGTGTAGAGTTGCAGTATGATCTTAAAACAGCTGCTGCATTACATCCCAGAGATGGCTGCATTTCAGTGGTGAACAAAGTGATTTATGCATAGATAGGAGTAGTTAATACAATCATTTTCTAGTGTTTATAGAGCATCGTGGGATCCAGCTGAGTGGGCCTGTCATATAGAGCCCTGTCAACCCTGGCCCTTCTGACCAGGGAGTAAGAGGCACCCATATCCCTTACCCCCTCACTCAGGGGCTTTATGCCAGTCTGACCTATCCTAATGAGAATGAGGTTGGCACAAAGAGGAGAACAGAGCAGTTCCTTGGTGGCTCCTGGGTTCAGACCTGAAGAGTCCCATGAGTTTCCTGTCCCCTGTGCAGGCCCTTTGTCTATCCCCCTTGCCCAGTGAATGCAGAAGCTACCACTAACCTGGGCTGCAGTAAGCCTTGTGGAGCAGCTTGCCGGGGAAGACAGCCTTAGGATGGGGCTGCTCCATCAGTTTCCCTCACAAAACAGTGCATGTAGTGGGTCGGGTAACAATTCCTCCTCCACCTTCACTCCTCTCTGCTGCCTACTCTGTTCTTTCTCTTTTGCTACACTCAGGCCCCTCCTGGGTTTGTACATGTGCTCTGTAACCATTCCTCTCAACCATTCAGAATCCTTTGCTGGTTCCATCTTGAAGACCTTACAGCCTAGGAAGACATGAGGGAAAGAGTTGAGGGAGAGGGATACAGTTGCAGTTTTGCTACTGCCTTTCATTTCACTTCATTTTTGTCCCTCTCCAGATAAACCCATCTGTACAAAAGACAAAAGATCTTCTTATTTTCTTACATGAGCAATGTCAGTTCACCCTTCAGTCTTTAAATCCAACCCAGATCATCAGGTGATTAATCTACGTTGGGGGGTGGAGGCTAGGAGCTGGAATCTGGACAGTTCACCCTTCAGAGGATGAAGAGAGCCAAAAGAGGTGTTAGGAATGTATTTTTGTGCCTATACCTTAATCTTAGGGAGAAAGCCTAATCTAATGGATTGGGGCTGGAACTAGGAGCAAGGAACCTTCTGAGTTCTGATCCTGGTTGGAAAAATGACTCACTGTGTGGCCTCAGTCAAAACACTTCACCTTTCTGATTCTCAGTTTAACATGTTGTGACGAACTGGGACTGTTCTTACTGTGGTCTGTGAATGCTGACCGGGGAGTGTGGCTAGGATAGTCTGCCCGAAGGCGAATACCTGAGCGTGTAACATGAGAACCCAGGAAGGGGTTGGAGGCCAGGTGACACCTTGGCCCGGGAAACTGAACAAAGGCTGTGGGAGGGGTCGCTGAAGGCAGGGTTTTGGAAGCTGGGTGGTGAGATGGTGGGGAGGCAGAGATTGCTCTGACCTCCCAAGGGGGACTGGGATGCCCTGGGACCCCAAGATGGACCTAACTGAGGGGGTCCCTGTTGTCTGTGCCTGCAAGACCTGTCTTGGACTGTATTCCTGTCATCCAAATAAACCTTCTGCTTTACTGGCTGGCTGAGAGTCATGGTGAATCGCAGGAGGCCGGGGGCGCAGGGCCCTGAGTCCCCCAATACTCCGTGACACATGTAAAATATGGACAAGAATTATGTACCAACCTGCCCAGAGATGTTGTGGGGATCAATTTACTAATGTTCATATCCATTTTTCTGATATAAAGCACTGTGTACGGCAAGTGTAAGTAAGGACCTGATGCTGATCCTAGAACCATGCTGAAATAATTTGAAAAAAATCTAACCCTGTATTAATGATTAAGTCCTCAGTGGGCTGATACTAGCTAGGAGGGCTAGGGTGAAGCTCCACCTGAATAACAGCTCATTCATTCTTGTCGCTGGTTGCCCATGAACATTGTTAGGGCCAGACAAACATCAGGGAGAGCATGAGGTTGGGAGGAATAAGGAAGCAAATGTAAATGTGTTTTAAAAATGAAGAGCAAATATTAATGGAAACTATTAAATATGGAAACCGAACCCTTGGGGGTCTTCCATTCTAGTTTTTAAATAATATGCAGTATATTACTATTATTTATTTACATACCTAGAAACCCCAACCAAAACTAGGGCCTCATTGCACTAAGCATGTATTTACACATAATAAGAGACAATCCCTGCCCCCCAAATGCTTATAGTTTGAATGTAATAGGTAAGACAGACGAAGGGAGGAAGAAAGGAAATATGCCCATTTTAAGGATGAGAAATAGAGAGATTGTTGGTATGTCTAAACTGCAGTTACACACCTGCGGCTGGCCCATGCCAGCTGTCTCGGGCTGCGAGGTTGTTTTATTGCTGTGTAGGAGTTTGGGCTTAGGCTGCAGCTCAAGCTCTGGGACCTTCCCACATCACAGGGCCCTAGAACCCGGGCTCCAGCTTAGGCCCAAACGTCTACATCACCATTAAATAGCCCCTTAGCCCAAGCCCTGCTGTCAGCCCGAGTCAGCTGGCACGAGCCAGCCATGGGTTTTTCATTGCAGTGTAGACCAACCCTCAGTGACTTGCCCAAAGTCATACAAGAAGAGCCAGGAACTGAATCCACATCTCCTGATTCACAGTCCAATGTCTTAACTACAAGACAGTCATTCCTTTCTGTTGTAACCCACAAATCTTAAAGAAACTCGAGGTCTTGGGATTTTAGCTTGCTGCTTAAAGGCAGTTTAGAGAAATGTTTTT